CGTGCTTCGATCAGATTTTGCATGGCACACTGTGTTCTGCATTGTGAAAAGCACGTGGCACACTGTGCTCTGCATTTTAACCCTTTGACGACCGCCGTTGTGCGTGCGTTGCTTCACTTCTTTTAAATTTTTTCATCAATATCCATTAACTCTCCAACAATTTCATTATTAGTAATGAGCACATTGTTTTGCGAATTCCGATAATGTATACGGGTAGTTTTGAAACATTAAAAATGCCAAATAAATGACGAAAAACGAGTCGCCACCGAGCGAAAGTGTGGCCCACCGGCGGGCCACACGGTCGTCAAAGGGTTAAAAACTGTCAACCTATTGTAGGAATATTGATTTGTTTGTCGGAGAGAAAGTCGATGAACTTTCAGTGCCGGTGCTCGGGAACTTGGTTTGGAGACAGTCAACAAGGTAATGAAGCTGAGCCGTGAATGAAAATTTAAAAAGGACGATGTGATGGAACGGTTTTAGAATGCCATGGAGTTGAGTTATAAGAAAATATGTAATTGGAGGAAAGATGCTACATTGGAGGAAATTACTTCGATAATAATTTCATTGAAACGCAGCACTGAGAAAAGGCTGCGTAGATGAGTTCGATATAAATCCCGAAAAGTGTGAGGTCGAGTGGGATCCATTAATCAACCACTCGAATGGGGTTAGGGTCGAACGCACTCACTACAGAGTGCGTGCCACGCTCGTCACACAAAATGGTTAGGGCGACATCAGGTAAAATGCGACCATCGACCCCTACTGCAACCCTTAACGCATTTGCAAGGCCACAATTTTAGGGTTTCCGATGGCTTCTCTTGCGCGCTTTTCCACATCCAGTTCGATCCGCAGCTCATCAGTCATGAGCGCTCTTATGCACCACTTTTATCCCGGTGCCTGCCTTTGAAAAGAAGCCAACCCTGAGAAGAGTGAACCACCAATTCATAGTGGATTGAGGGGGGGGGGTGTCCTGTACTATCTTCTGGTTGATCCTCTATAATCTGGCATTTGAAAGATCCTAATTGGTAGACATGAAGAAAGAGGCGTAAGAACAGGTTCCTAACTAGCCAAAAAGCAACAAACAAACGTATGTAGTAGCTAGCTTCTCGGGTAGCTGAACGTGTGTGCTACCTTGTAAGCCATGTTGGAATCTTGAATAAATCCAAAAGGATGATCACAATAACAGTAAAGTTACTCAAAATTCATTGCCAACCTAATACATGAAAAGAAAAGGGAAACGAACCGAGAAAAGAAAAACGCTTTGCAAGACATCGTATGGGCAAATCACTTCGGAAATCTGACCAGAAGTGCAATGCGTGAAGAATCCCAACCAGAGACTGATAAAGATCGAATGCTTTCCCCTTTACCCTTCAACCTTCAAAGGTCACTATAATTAGATGTTCTTCGTCGAAGGTCTCAACCTCCTTCAAGCCGAGTCGTCTTACTTGCCCTATCCTAGGATTTGCAAATTATACTGTTGGTTATCATGTGTTGCGACACCGGCTAGGGACAGTATTACTATATCCTCTCCGACGGAAGTTATACCAATTACTTATTTCTGGGAGTAATTCTTGGACCAGACGAGAGTAGAGCCAGGACTTTACCTTCGGACCACGCACGTAATGCACAGCTCTAGCTGCCATTACCCACCTCTGACCAAACCTCATTTTTCGTATTGCAAATCTATCTGATAAATGGTGACGTCACTCATATCGCACAATCAGTCTGACAATGACTTATTCTATCTTCCACCATTGTTGTTTCCTTAAAGGCAAAGTTCGGGCTTAGACCCACCTAATAAGCCCTTAAAAGAGGAATTCACGATTAGAGTGAAGGTCGAAGAAAGGGTAAC